AGATCACTAAAGTTTCTATCGAGAAAAACCAAACAACTCTTCTCAGAAGTTCAGACAGCCATGCATTTGCGTTGTTTCAACCCTGTTGCCACTACTGTTTCCATTTCAGTAGCTGTAATTTGGATCACTCTGTGGGCGAGTTGCACGGTCAGGTTTGAATTAACTTAGGATTAGAGTTTTAGGGCCAGGGATGGAATTCGCATCAAAACCGGGGGTTAGATTTAGGGTCAGAACTGAGATTATGACTGGGCTTATCGTTAGGACTAGTGTTGGTATCTGATCCAGTTCTTCACCTACCCTAGAACACAATCCATCAACCAAACTTATCACAAACTTTATGCCAAATCCAACCCTATCCCTAGTTCTGGCCCTGTCGCTAAGCATCAACTTCACCAGGCTCCACCTACTAGCTTAACCTAACTACAAAGTTCCCCCGAAGTAATTTTGAAGTCGAAAACCCCTTGCGAAGAAGAAAACATCTGTAAGATTCGCCAGGGATTCTGAAAGAGCGTTTAACCGACATCTTTTCAAGACCCACCTTACAGTATAGGTCACTGTTTGCAATTCACATTCGCGTTGCAGATGGGACGGGGTTGCGAATCGATTGTAGTGCCCGTCTCTCTTTGGCTTTCTGCGATATCCAAATGGACAACTGCTGCCTGAAAACCGTTTTGTGTACTTGCAGCATAACAGTGATTCTGGAGTAACTTCAAAGTTTGCTATCCAGGGCTGTGTTTGTTCCTGTAGTCCACATCCTTATAGTCTGTCATTCTATTTCTCCCCTAGGACAACTTCGAGGGGCTAGTTGGAAGGACCGTTTGTAATCAAAGTGGACCACGATGGGGATGTGTTGGAGCAAGACGGACGCCAAATTGTGACACGGAGCGTGTAAACGAGACTCTGCAGAGCACACGCATAGCATAACAAACACCTCTCCTGGGGGGGTGCGGTGACACGCCTGGGGGCAGGCTTACGCCGCGCCAGTCGTTCGAGCCCAATCTCCGCATCGGATGCTTGACCGGCTCAACCAGCCGACCGGCGCATGGGAGGGAGGCGAGTGAGTAAGGTCAAGTAAGGGGACTCCGTCCCCGCGACAATTCGACGCATTCATTATTATACAAAAATTTGAAGATCTTTAAAACTTTCACGTGTTGATTAAAGTCGTGACATGGAGGACCGTCAAGATAACTCAGTCCTCTCAGGACGGAGAGTGAGGTTCAGTGGTTCCTTCTTAATGAGTCCCCCCCCCCCACAGCACTCCCGCCCAGACGGGACTTGGACTGACTCCTTGTTCCGTGAAAGCCGGGTATATATCCGTGGAACCAGGTCGTGTGTGGCACACGTAGATGAGTTGTTCTGCCTTTTCAGCCACTGTGCCAAGGCCCGCCTCTGGTCTTCCCGACTCTAGCATGCAACTCAGCCCAGGTGGGTGACGCAGGCGAGAGTGCAATAGGTGCTGCGCAAGTTTTCCATCATTATAAACCACTTCACTCGCAAGTTACCGTCCTCGCTCAGCATACTCTGGAGCACAGATTGGACATCATCGTCCACTCTTTCGGGTGAACAAATACTGTGGGTGGTCTAGCTCATGAAATGTCAACCGAAATTTCGGAATGCGTTCTCGTTTCAAAAAGATTAATTAAGTAGGGTTGTAAAACTAGTCAGCCTGCAACATAATTCAATAATGATCCAGTTACCTCAGGGTGCCGGCCTTCGAATGAACTTCCTTCCGACTGCATGCAAACACTACACTCTGAAACAATGGCTACTTAAGTGGCATGAATTTTTGTCATTGATTTTTGATGCCCCTAAAAGTCCAATTATATTTCATGGAAAGCATGGGTAAAAATATTCATCCTCTTACTTATTGGGTAGGAAATCACGTCGGTTTCAATTTTACACTCGAAAGAAGGGAATAATTCGGTCTTAAAAACTGTTCCGATGCCCGAATAATTTTGAACCCGACCTGTTGTTGCACTGGCATTAAGGCTTTCAAAACTACAAGCCGTATATTTTCCGTGTACGGAAAACCATGCATTTCTCTACGGTAATAAAGGGGAACCATATGGGGTTCATAAAATTAATCAGTGGATTTGAGCAATATTGTTAACTTTACAAGCCACGTTCGTAAATGCAGAGACATGAGAGTTTATGAACGGCCATTTCACGGTATTAAAAAATCTCACAATTAGAAACTTTTTTAATACCGAATTATACCCTGATTTTGAGTATGAAATTGGAAAAAGATGTGATTTCTTACCGAATAAATAAAGGAATGAATATTTTTATGCATGCTTTCCATTAAATCTGATTGAATTTTCAGGGTCATCGATAATCAATGAGAAAATTGCATGCCACATTTGTAGTCATTTTTTAGAGTATGGTTCTTGCATACAGTCAGAAATAAGTTCATTTAAGAGCCGACACCCTGAGGTAACCGGATCATTATGGAATTATGCTACAAGATGATTAGTTTTACAACCCTACTTAATTAATATTTTCGAAACGAAAACGCATTTCGAAATTCCGGTTGACATTTCATGAGTTAGCCCACCTACTGTAACTTGGAGTTTACAAATTTAACCCTGAAATTAACGACCGGACAAGACGGAAAATAGAACGATTGGTGGCAGATGAGATCGATAGGCCGACCATTGGAGTTTACTGCCCCCAGAGGCTCGAACGTGAAAAAGCGTCTGGCATCCGGTGCACTTAGAACACAGGGCCTCTTGGCGTCTAAAGGTGCCTTCCGCCACAACGACCGCCATTCCGTGGACCGTAGAGGGCAAAGGCGTGTCCTGGGCGAAGATCGTTTATGCGTCTTCGCCTTGTTCTGCCATCAACGCAGTCTGTGTGGGCGGAGCGAGGGAGGCAAATACATTGCAAGTCTGCTTCACAATGGACATACTCATGCCCAGGTCGCCGCTGGACGCATCTCATGGAATAGTGGCGGAGGTCATCGTTCGTGACGTTTAGACTATCTCTTTTGTGTGGGCGTGTCAGTCATGGATGCCGAACTGGGGGGACAGAGATGTTATAGCGGCACAGCAGTGAGAATAAGTGCTTTGAGCGCTACAACCACCAGGTCGAATCCCAAGTCGTAAGGAGAAGACAGAAGACACCAGAATGAGGGGGTTTATTGTGCACAGAACCCGAGGAGTTGTCCTCTCAGGCGGCAGTGGTCACTGGCGAAGCCAGGGCTGGTGTTGACTGCGTCCAGTCATGTCTGGGAGTCCCTGAGACAGTGGTGGCAGCCACTTTTGTATGCTCGTGGGCCAAGCTTAAATGGTGTACAGTCACTGTGTGTTCCATTTGCCGAGGGGTGCTGTTACAGTGGTTTGTTTTGCTGGTTAAAGTGGGTGGCGCGTTCAAGTGGCGCATGAGTAGCCGCAATACTGTGAGAACGCATTTGTGTTCGAGCTGAAGTCGGTCGAGTGGCCTAAGGTCAGCTCGACTGGGACGCCTCGCTGCAATGGGTGAATGACCTTGAGGCAGCAAGGTCATGATGGCCGCACGCTACAAATTCACCGCTGCTAGACATGGCTGTGAGAGGACCAGATTCTGTGAGGACCTTGCTGACCCAGCCTACACAGATCTTAATCCCGGGCGTAGTGAATATGACAGGAAAAAGCGTTGGTGCCATATTTTCTACATATTTGCCTATCTGTGTTTGACTGCAAGTTTTCTGCTCTTCGAAACAGATTCCTCCCGCAACTATGGAGTAAATACTGGTCAGATCAGATTTATTCAGCGAAAGGTAGGCGAGCGCCTTTGAACTCCCCTGGTTATAATAACGTCATAAAAACCAGTGTTTAAGGCAAGCGTCAAAGAACATTGGGTAAGTAATTGCATACAACAAGCATTCCTTACTGGTATAAATTTGTCTGTGAATGCCTTCTGTGTCAAAATTGTACAATAACCAGTACGCGGTACTGAATGGACCAAGTAATATTGAAGCAAGCGTATATGCTTCGGTCAGGTGATAACGAAAAGTCAAAAAGTAATGCTACTTACATATGGGGCGTAGCATATTTTGTAACGTAAAACTTTGGGCGGTTGGTACAGGGGCAAAATTTGTTAATTTCTGATGCCGTGGGCGTACATATCCCTGTACTGGTCAAATTTCCTCTTAAATGTGTTCCCGGATGAGGACATGACGAGGTCCACAGGCATTTCATGCCTTTAACAAAATTTAATTTCTTAACCACGTTACCTAGCCATTTGTTGTACGGTTTTCAGTTATTCAGCCAGACATGCCAGTCGAATTCATGACTCACATCATGACATGTTTTCGAATTTGTGGGTCCCCGGAACTAATTATGCAACTTTGTCGAGTGTAGAAAACTAATCCACCTGTGAGAGTCCGTCATTCACATTGTGGCTTGCATTTGTTTACTTCTCTATTTCTCGCCCAAACGTAGGGTTAGTTGGTGCTGTAATTTTTCAACTGATTCCCCCACTTTCTGGAAAATAAGTCCTAGCTAAGATTTCAGATACTTCTGGCGTGAAGGCTGAGGTTGTGTGCTTATCAAGTGGAAGAATAAAAATGTAGGTTGAGTTACGTCCTCTAATGTGGAGAAAATGAGGTGTTAATTTGGGTCTCTGTACTGACATCGATGTGTAAGGTTTGCGCTCTTACAGGCTGGCGAAGATCCGATGAAAAAGTCGACAGTTACGAGTTCCCCTTGAAAATGCTCTAATACTCTCAGTATGCACTATCACTAGGTATTGGGACGTTCTGTTTAGGCGGAAGAGGATTGGTCCATCCGATTTTGAATGGTAGCGAAGGCCTTCGTGTTATACCACCCCTCACTTCGGTGGCCGCAAACGTTTTACGTGTTTGCTCTTCAACATTCATGGCGAAGGACAGCAAACGTCGTCCCTCGACCATCAACAAGATCCCAGCCCTAACTCCGAGAAAGCAGTCAGGAAACTAGAACCCCTCAACTGTAAGCCTCCTGTCACCTCCTTTGCTCTCATATCCTATTCATAAACATTTTCTATAAAATAAGAAGAAGAAGAAGAAGAAGAAGAAGAAGAAGAAGAAGAAGAAGAAGAAGAAGAAGAAGAAGAAGAAGAAGAAGAAGAAGAAGAAGAAGAAGAAGAAGAAGAAGAAGAAGAAGAAGAAGAAGAAGAAGAAGAAGAAGAAGAAGAAGAAGAAGAAGAAGAAAGTCGAGCACCGGAACACTTTGCTTATTGTCCTGAGCTTTCAGACTCGTGCAGGAGTCCATCGTGAGAGGTAGTGGCAGAAACAGGACAAGCGGCAGTTATGAGGCACGTAGGCCAATCATCGACCAACGGCGCAAGACTGGAGGTGATTACGCAGGGTTCTGTATGCTGGCGCCAGATCGATAAATCGATTGACTGAGTCCTCATCTGAGGCCCAGGCTTCAGTCAATTCTCGGTCTGTTTTTCTTTTAAACATGCACGACCCGGAAGTAAACGTGTTGACAGTTAGGCAAATTACCCACCTTAAAAGCTCCGCTTGGTACAGTGCGTGACTGATCTCATGAAATGTTAGCTGAAATTCTGAAATGTATTTTCGGTTAAAAAAGATTACTTAGGTGGTGCTGTACTAGTGATTAGCATGCAGCATAATCCTATGATATTTCGGACTCGCAAGGATGCTGACTTTTGAGTGTGCCTTTTACAACCTCCAGTAAACACTGCGCTTGTTATAAAATATCTCCTTAAGTAGTATGCATCCATCATATAGATTTCGAGGGCTCTAGAAAATCAAATATATTTTGCAGAAGGCATGCACAAAAAAATGCTTAAAAGCGCTGGAGCTCGATTTTTGGAGCTCGGGTCAAGCTCGGAAAGAGCTCGCAAGCCCGTTTTCAGAACTCTTTTTAGGCTCGTTTTCACGAGCTCCGTACGAGCTCGGATCAATGACCACATCCGAGCTCCAGCAGAGCTCGCGTACCTCGCAAAACGAGCTCTGTGCGAACTCGTTCAGAGCACATTTTGTTATTAGGCTTCTTTTATGCGTATGGCAGCAAATCATGTCTTCCTTACATCTGATACTCCAAAAATGGGTTTATTTGGCCTGGATAATCTGCTTCCAAACCTACAGGGTAAAAGGGCTTTAAGGAACGCATAACAGCAGAATGTCCTTGATTCCTTTTCTCGTGTCGAGTGGAGACCTTCGTCGTTACCCCTCCCCCCCCCCCGACTACCATCTTGTGAGGACTCCTTATGAGGCAGCAATGTGTGTTCATGGACTTTAGCCAGGATTTAAGACGACATTAAAAAGCAAATAGGGATGGTCACCGCATGCCCCACGGAGTGACCACGCCGCCAGTGACTTGCGCAGCATCCATCGCACTCCCTCCTCCCACACCCACCTTCCTCCGATAACAAGACAAGGTCGGAACCAAAAAAAAGAATATATTGCCGCTGGAACAAGAGGTTCATTGGCGTAACGTCTCCAATTCTTACTCGAACCCAGCATCAGAGACAGTGGCAGATAAGAGGGATTGAGACACATGAGGGACAGTGTTTACTGAACGCAACTACATTCCACTCCGTGGGATACGAACAGGGTATGGCGGCCTGCCTAGGGGTGGCGCCGACCACGTTAGCCATCTGCGCCCTCCCTAACCTCCGGTCTTCTTGACTATGTCTTGACATTGGGCCCAGATGGGGGGGGGAGAGGGAGTGCAGTAGATGCTGCGCAAGTCACTTTCCCTACTCTCGCCCTTCTGTAGAGCACACGATGGACATCGTCGGTCACGACGGTCAAACTGTCACGTGCGTACTGGACAGTGCGCGACCTATCTCATGAAATGTTGGCCAACATTCTGGAATGCGTTTCCGACTAGGAAGGATTACTTAAGTGGGGTTGTTATACTGATTGTCATACAACATAACCCTATAACAATTCAGACTCACCAGGAGGTAGGCTTTTGAATGCATTTCTTTTAGACCTTCTGCAGGAACCGCAATTGGTAAAAAAAAATGACTACTTAAGTAGCATGCATTTTCCTTACTGATTTTCGGTGATCTTATAAATTCAAATATATTTTACAGAAAAAACGCACAAAAATATTCTTTCTTTCGCTCACCTGGTAGGAAATCAAATTATATTCATATTTTATACCCGAAGAAAGTGTGTATTTCGGTTTTGAAAAAGTTTCTAATTATGAGATTTTTAAGACCGTGCGACGTCTATGCATGCAAGACCGCACATCTCCGTTTACCAATGCTCCTCATGAAATGTACAACGCAGTCCGGATCCATTGCTAAATTCCATGAACTCTATGTGGCATCTTCTTAAAGGCATAGAGGAATTTATGATTTTCCTTACGCGGAAAGCATGCACTTTGTAGACTGAAATCGCCAAACGCTGATGCGATGGCAGATCAGGCTTAAAAGTATTCGGGAATTGGGTACCTCATTTAAAACCTGAATACACACTTTCTTTTGGCATCAGAGAAGAAAATGTGATTGCCTACCAAATGAGCAAAAGAAGGCATGTTTTTGTGCATGATTTCTGTAAAATATATTTGAATTTTTAAGACCATCGAAAACCAATATGAAAAATACATACGTATTACGTATTCATTTTTTACCGAGTGTGGTTTCTGCAGGAGGTCAGAAAGAAGTGCATTCAAAAGCCGATACCCTGGCGAGTCCGAAATGTTATAGGGTTATGCTGTATGATAATCAGTATAAAACCCCCCACTTAAGTAATCCTTCCTAATCGGAAACGCATTCCAGAATTTTGGCCAACATTTCATGAGATTGGTCGCGCACTGTAATTACGCAGCTCCCGCGTTCATTACTGGTGCCATGATGGCTTCGACTGTAGCCACCCTGTCAGGCGTAAATGCAGTTGCGTTAGCGCACTGCCCTGGTGTATCGAGACGCGATTCACGTGGTTGCGGCCTCTTGCAAAAATTTCGGCTTGAAGGTATTACCGGGCAAAGTTGTGGACAAAGCAACCACGTCGGAGAAACTTGGAGATAGCTCCGAACGCGAATGATCGAAGACGCAGCAGCGGTGAGAGGGAATGACGCTCAGTCTCGACTGGCTTCTCCTTCGACGGGACCCGGTCACACTTTCGGGTATAATGAGACCGAAATTCCCACAAAAAACGCCAATAACATCAGGCGCAAGATACTTGAGTCATGGTTCTCCCGCCCCTAATCGATCAACATGCCCAAGTACTTCCCGGTCCCATATTCTGTGCTGGGATGTGTCCCGGGAGGGGATGGGCGATCGAAAATTCCAACGAGGCAATTTACCAAGTAACTATCACGATTAACGGACTCGGATGAGAGATAACAAGCGATCATCGCACCAAACACGACCCCTAGCGATGAATGCAAGAACTGCCGATTATAGTAGGCATGTTGTTGGGTGGCAACTGCGGTCCATAAGTAATGCACTCCTCGTGCCACCATAACCGTTGTCCGCCACTGTCTCTGATGATGGACAGGAGTGGAAATCCCAAATGTGAGACCAACAAACCTCTGGCTTTTTCTTCTTCTTCTTCTTCCTCCCCCGCACTGCTTCCTTGAACTCATCTTCTCGACTCAGTCGTAAAATCAAGGCCGGAATTGAGCGCGGTGATCGAGAAGGCCAGACAATCCGTCTAAACATGCCATTCACAAGACCTGGTCCCAGATGCACACATCAGGCTTCTGTAAGGACGGCTGGAATGTCACATGAGTGTGAGTGTCTTAAAGACTTCACTGAGAAGAAGCTGACTGCAGTCTGACTCTCAGTCTTCTCGTCGCTCCGAATACTGCCATGAGGATAGGCTTGCCAGTCGAACAGGGGGGCGGTCAACATTATCACAAAGCACGCAGTGTGTGAACATGAACATAGTGATGAAGGCTTTGCAGCTTCGACCTCATTCTGTCTTCTCTGTTTCCTTGCATGCAAAGATCAAGGTTAAGTGCAAATGACTGGGGATTAGTCCGACCAAGCATCATAAAGCCCGGTTCCCCCTTTCCAGCCTCTAATCGAATCAGATTTCCCACACACATAAACCAGCCCTAAAGATCCCTGGCAGCGGTTGAATGGGGGTAGCAAGAACATTCACCGCAGTTTCTTGGAACCGCATATGATAGCTGGATTCCAGGTGTGGTAAGGATGTAATGTTACTCAGTGAAACTAGCTACCCGTTGCGATTACCAGTTCAGCAAGGTGGCCGCTCCACTAACGGGCACTACAAACATACCCCACGAGAGCACGCGAGCTCCTGTTTACAGACCTATTACCGATAACGTCCTTCAGGGCATCTGGGGCTGTAGGAGCACTGTCGAGTGTATCACTGGTCGCCCAGTCCCTTGGTAGAGGGGCTGATTCGGTTGTCATGGCAACGGTGTCTTTCCGCCCATTACGGCAACCATCCTGTTCTCGGTGCGGAAACTGGGCGTATGACCTCGGGGTCAGGGTACGCATCACCTAACAGCCTTGCGACGTAGTGGCGTGGGCACCTTCGGTGACAGAAGTGCGTATTCTTCGAAAAGACAAGACATTTAGCGGCGTGCTCATGAGATCACCTCTTCTGCGCAGTTTGGATTCCAACTAGCAGGAGGGGCATGCAAAGTTCGCACTAAGCAGAACAGGCAACCAACAGCTAACTAGGTAATCACGACAGTTCGACCTTCGGTTTCGACGATGTCCACCGTATGCCCCACAGCAGGGGGGGGGGGGAGCAGGGACGTGGACTTGTGTGAAAATTTAATTTTTTATGATAGTATACTTGCACAGCATCTACCGCACCCCCTCCCCTCCCAACTTGGGCCCAGTGTCAGGACAGAATAAAGAAGACCGGGGGCGGGAAGGGCCCAGGTGGACAGCGTGGTCGAGTCCGCACCTTGGCGTTCCACTCCTCACCCCTGGTCCACACAGCAACTGCCCAGGTCATTGACCAACCGCCAACAACAAAGCCATAACGTGTCAGAAAGACGAGGAAGACTGGACAGCTATTAGAAGCGAAGAGACGAATCCCAGGAAGCAGTCGTGAAGAAGGAGGCACGATCACTGGGACAAGAGGTTTATTAGCCTGACGTTTCGGATTCCTGCACTCGAAGCCATCATCAGAGACAAAAACAGATACCGGTGGTTCATGCACAAGGGGCTGCAGTATTTATAGGATGCAGAGCTATGCTACCGCATACCCATGAATATTCACGCTCCCCCCCTCCTTCACCAAGGATCGTTGTATGTGGTGTGATGACTGTTTTATGGTCGACATTTGCGTTGTTAATTGCTG